CCAACACTATGTATTCTCCATACATAGGACCCTATCTTAATCAAAATCAAACCAAACCAAATCAGGGAATCATAGTCTCTTTCTTTCCTGGTTGTAAACAGGAAATGAAGTAGTTAGATGTGATCCAATTTTTTTTAATCCTATTTGTTTTATTGTCAGTAATACTGTTTTATCTTTTTTTCCGTGGATATTGGTGGCTCTTGCAAGGATGCCAGAGTGATACCTGTCTTTCTTTTCCCAGCCATTGAGTCCTTAATCACAAATGCCTGCTGTTCTTTGGTAAGGCTGCTTTTTTATCCTCCCAGGGAAGGAAATGCCATCTCTTTAAGAATTCTTTGTCTTTTGTTAAGCAGCCAGCACCTACCTTCCTATCAGTATTAGGGGCCCTCTTGTAATCTGTGAAGTCCCTGGGCCTCAATTAACGCCTCAGACTCCACTGTCTTTCTAGCTAGCTGCTCTCCACTCTCCCACATCTAACACCACACAGGCCATCCTCTTCTAGACTTGATTCCAGAGCTGCCTTATCTCAGTTTTCTTTACATTTAGTGTGTGTGTGTGTGTGTATGTGTGTGTGTGTGTGTGTGTGAGAGAGAGAGAGAGAGAGAAAGACAGAGAGAGAGAGAGAGAGAGAGAGAGAGAGAGAGAGAGAGAGAGAGAGAGAGAGAGCATCAGTTTGCCAAGGGGTGTGTGTATAAATCAGATGTGGCTTCTGGAGCGGGAACTCAGGTGCTTCGTTACTTCCCTCCAACTCCATAAACCCCATCCCTGTGTCAATTTCCTTTCTTTTTAAATTTTACTTTGTTGTGTGTTAGTGTTTAGCTATGTGGACATGCCATGGCTCCTGGAGGAAGGACAGAGAGTAATTTTCAGGGATAAGGTCTTTCTTTCTGCTATGTGAATCTCAAGGATCAGACCTAGGTCTACAGGTTGTGGTGGCAAGCATCTTTATTGCTGAGCCACCTCCTTGGCCATTTATCTCGAATTTCTATTATATTTCAGCTGGTGTCACCTAAACTGTCTCATCTTCAGGAATTGTTTCTCCTTTTAAATCTTATATTCATATATATGTATATGAGAGGGTGTTTAGGGGCATGTGCGCTATGGCCTGTGTATGGAGGTCAGAGGACAACTTTCGAACAGTTAGTGCTCTCCTTCCACCTTTTCTCATGGATTCTGAGTATTGAACTTAGATCACCAGGTTTGTGCTGCAAATGCTTTTACCCAGTGAGCCAACTTGTTTGAACTTGTTTATTTTTGTTCATTTTTTAGACAGGATCTCACTATGCAGCAAATTCATGATCTTGTTTTCTTTTTTCTTACACACACACACACACACTCCTAAATATGTTCATATGTATTTAAATTCCTACATATGTGCATATATATTTATAAATATATAAATACAACCTGCCCCATCTGTATACTGTTACCTGTATGTATATCATCGAAGGGCTGACCACGTGATATTGGATAACCAATTGGGGGCTTTACCCTGTGGAAGACCATTTCTACATTGTCCAGTTGCCTATAGTTCTTTGTCTAGAGTTGAGGCCCCCTGAGCTTTCTTCCCTGTATGTCAGCATGTTCATTGGTGTTATTGTTGTTCTCCTGCTTAGGCAGCTGTGTAGATGAGACTTCATGGGTAAAAAGCCCCTGGAACATTTCTAGGAGACAGAATCTTACAGGAAACTTCCCGTTTGTCAGGCTCTTACTGTCTTTCAGACTCTCTCTTCCAAAGTGATCCTTGAGCGATTGGTGTAGGAATTGTGTTGTAGATGTATGTTTCGGTTGGCATTTGACACTACAAGATCTTGTTCTCTCCATTTTGATTGGTTGTAGTTTTCTGTAATGGTCTCCAGCTTTTGTAAAGAGAAGTTTCCTTGGTGAAGGGTAGAGACTAACTTATCTATGGATATAAGGATAAATATATAGAATGTAGTTAGGGATTATGCTTCCCCCCTTTTTATTTTTGTAAAGTAATGGTTGTAGTTTCTTTTCCAAGACCTATGCCCTTACCATCCCTAGGTTGTCGGCTAGGTTTCCAGTACCAGGCATGATTTCCCTCCTATTGAATGGGTCTTAAATTAAATAAGAGAGCTAATGGCTACCCCCAACATGTGCCATTCCTATACCCTAGGTTATCGTGCCATGCTGGTCCTTATGGTTCATAGGTATTACAACTGAGTGGGACCTTTGGTGCTTCCCTCCTTTGGAAGCTTGCATGGCACCTTCTGGTAGCATGAGAGCTACTCCTCAGAGAGGAGGCTTTGGGGTCAGGTCAAGGTCAGGGATTTCTGGACCCTGTTTCTGAATTTCACTGTGTCTTCATCGAAAGGGATTTATTTTTCACCTCTGAGAGGCAACCAAGGGCAACACCAATAGCTTATAATGTTTTGGGGGTTTCTTGGACAACCTGGTCCAACAACTTAAAAGGGGCTTCTCATGCCTGCTGTTGGGTTTTTTGTTAGATGAGGTCTATGACTCTTGGAGAGAACATTGTCAGCTCAGATGGAAAATTTTCACTTAAATTGTATGTGGACTTATATGTACTGTATACTTATATGTATTATATGTAATTTTAGGTAGATGATATTATGTTGCTTTATGAATTTTAGAAGGCATCTTTACAGTTACTTTAGTCTCCACCCTCCCTCTTCCGTATTTATCTCTTTCCTCTCATCTTTAACCATGTTTCCCTTGAAGAACATTTAGGTTGTTTTCCATTTCCTAGCTATTGTGAACAGAGTGGCAATATTTATTTTATTTTCTATGTTTTGGTGCTTTGCCTGTATTTCTTTGCATAGCATTCATGCTTGGTGCTGGAGGAGGCCAGACAAAGGTGTACTACTATCCCTTGCAATTGGAGTTACAGTTCTAGGCCACTATGTGGGTGCTAGGAATTGGAACTGAGTTCTCTATAAGAGCAGCCTCTTAATCACTGAGCCATCTGTGCAGCTTCTTATTTATTTATTTATTTATTTATTTATTTATTTATTCATTTATTGTTGACACAGGATCTCATATAACACAGCCTTTCCTCAAGTTCACCAGGTAGCTGAGGATGTGTTTGAACTCCTTATTCTCTTGTTTCTAGCTCACAAATGCTGGGAATACAGGCCTGTACACTGGCTTTATGTGGTGCTTGGGACTCAAACCCAGGATCTTGTTTATGCTTGGCAGGTATTCAACCAAATGAGTTATAACCCCATTCCTTTTAAAAAAAATTTTATTTTAGAATGTATGATATGTATTAGAGAGAGAGAGAGAGAGAGAGAGAGAGAGAGAGAGAGAGAGAGAGAGAGAGATTGTATTATATTACAGGCCCCATGTGGAAGTCAAAAGACATCTTGGGGGTTCTAGGAACTGAACTCAATCTTCAGGTTTGTATGTAAGTGTCAAATCACTGAGCCATCTCACCCCTCCCTATTATTTATTTATTCTACAGATTTGTTTTTTTTTTGTTTGTTTTTTAAGTTTTGTTTCTAGAGGCAAGTGCCATAAAGGGCTAGGGGGGTGGGATTCTGCTGGTGCTAGAGTTACAGGTGGTTATGAGCTGCCTGTCTGATGTGGGTGCTGGGAACTGAACTTGAGTCATCTGTAAGAACAGTAAGTACTTTCAACCGCTGAGTCATTTCTCCAGTCCTCTATTTTTTTTAAAATAAGTTGAGACAGGGTCTCTATATGTGCCCCCACCTTCCCTGGAACTTGCTATGTATACCCAGCTGATCTTGTATTTGGCTTTCACTGAGTCCCACATGCTGGAATGGCAGATGTGAGCCACCACGCCTGGCTTTTCTTTGAAATCTTGTCCTTTAATAACACAGCCTCTGCTGCTGGACTCACCTGAGTTTTTGCACTCTTCTGGCCTCTCTCCTTCCTTTCTTCTTGCCCAATAGGCTCTGGCTGACTTCAGCCTGTGTACTCTAGGATTAGACCTTTGGCCCTCTACGACAATGACATTCTTTTAAAGGGGCTCTCATTTGTCTTACTTGGCACCATGAGCAAACTGGTTTTTATCAGCCATCTATATTTATATATATTATAACTGGACATCAGTATACAGTTACCTCTTTAAACTCCACTAAGTCTTCCAGTAACACTTGTCTAGGTTGTGAGTCTTGTTGTATCCTGATTATTCAAAAATTTCATGATGATTTGGGAGGCAAGGGCACATCGCTTTGAGACCAGCCTGGTCTTCTACATATAGTGCTCCAGGTCAGTCAGGGTGGCGTAATGGGCCGTTTTCTATGGCTAAGGTCTCCCATAACCCAGGCTGGCCTCAGATTTACTAAGTACACAAAGAGGATCTTGAATTTATGATCCTCTTGTTTTTACCTTCCCATTGCTGCCACGATGGCAGATTGATGCTGTGTGTTGAAGATATGTGATCTTGTGTTTGCTAGGCAAGCGCTCTACCAAATGAGCTACATCTCCAGCCTGTCTCAAAAACTAAAAAAGAAACAACCAACAAAACCCCAAAGGAACAACAAAAACAACCAAAGAAACAAAACTTTCGTTAACCCCCCCACCTTAAAATTTCAGCTCCCTTCAAATCTGTGTCTGGTTAGATCATTCTTTTTCAGTTTTCTCATCTGCTTTTTCACTTGAAACAACCTCCAGTGTCCTTTGCCACACTTACCTTTTCAACACTCCCTCAAAGGCACTTTGGAAACCTCTCCTGCTTTCTTCTGCTCCTCCTGTCTCCCTAACTTCATTCTGAGGAAGTTCATTTACCAGTAGACATAGGCCCCTAGGCAAGATTTCTGCTTTGTTTTTCTCCTTTCCCAGCTTTGGCTGTGGTGGCCCCTTGGCTGCACTGGAGGGGGACGGTCAAACATTTGTGGTGAGTGAAGTTGGTGGGAGACTCAGAGCAAGGGGCTCTGCTTGCCAGGTTCTGAGCTGTCCAGGAGCCTTAGAGGCTGGGCTGTAGCTCTCTCACTACAGGAAGGAGGGAGGGAGAGTGGGAGGGAAAGAGGGAGAGTGGGAGGGAGGGGCAGGCCCAGGCTGAGCGTGGCCAGGGGCCAAGGGCGTCTAGAGCGGAGGGTGATGGGAGCTGCCTGTGCCTTAGGGAACACTTTTTAGGCGTTTGTTTTGTACTATCGCTGGAGCCCACCGCTGCAACACCCCCAATTTCACAACCAGCGTGAGTCAGCTGGGCCGGCTGCAGGACCGCTAGGGGAAGGAGGACTTCTCAGTCCCTGGGGTGGGCAGGACCGAGTGGTGACTAGAGCACCCTAGATGAGGTCCCTGCTCCCTCAGGACAGGTGAGCACTGTCCAGCTGGCCGCTGGGTGGAGCTGCGTGAGCCACACTCCACGGAGCCCTGGCCACTACACAGGTAACTCCCTTCTTGGGCCTCCCCCCAAACCCCTCGGGCCTTGGCGCCCAGACCACCATATTTCCCTCGGGGCCATTTCGGCCCTGCTGGGAGCACACTTGGGATCTGGATGCTTTTGTCCCCTTCCCGCTGGTGCCCACGCCCGGCCCACAGCCATTCGCTTCTCGCACATAGTGCTGGAAAACCTGGGCGATCGAGCAGGCCTTTGAGACTGGGGGACGCCCACTTGTGCCCAGTGCCATTGTAGCCTGTCCCCTGGTAGTAGCGGTGACTTGGGGTCCAAATCGGCGCGTCCCTGGGGTGTGTCTCTCCTCACCGGATTCCGCACCCCAAGCCCTACTTCTCCCTGCTTTGTGGATCCCCGAGATGGCGTTGGCGGAAGCGAAACCGCCCGCGGGGATGATTCGGTTTTTGAATAGGCTTTCTGCACCAAGCTTACAGGTTAAACAACAACTCTTTTAGCTGGCCTCAGGGTTCTGAGCACTACCTAGCCTGGGGGGGGGGGGGGAGGCTGACTTGGACTTTATGCCCAAGAAATTTCCACTTCACCTCAGGTCTGTGGGGTTTAACTAGACGTAGACCAACCCACAAAGGTCCTTGGTGCCCCTTTTTCTAGTCAGTCCATTTCCCTACCCACCCTCCTTGCACTGTTTTGATGATCATCATCTTGGCTTAGTTTTACCATTCACAGACGTCATAAAACGGGCTTTCCAGTAAGTACTTTTTTGTGTCTGATTTACATTACTTTAAAAATGAACATCATTTTAGTGTCTCTTGGTGTTTCTGTTGCTGTAGGCCTGCACAGTGGAATGGAAACACTGGCCATTGTGGCAAGTTGGAAATGAGATGTGCTTTAATAATGTGCATGTTTTTCCCCCCAAGGCTTAGTACAAAGCTGGTGACACGTAGCTCACAAGTAAATTGTTGCATCCATTACAGCATTTCTCTTTTCTTTAAGACAGGGTCTTATGTAGCCCAAGTTGGCCTCAACCTCATCCTCCAGCCTTCATATAGGAAGTACTTGGATTACAGGCCTGTATCAGCACTCTAAGACAATGATTGCCGTTTTTTTCTCATTGGATTAAAAAAAAATACTATAATATCTCTGGGAGGTGACTCCTGGCACTCGCACTCATGAGTCTGAGGCAGAAGGACAGTGAGATGGAGGCTAGCCTGGATTACAGGGTGAGATTCCCTCATCTAAAAAATCTAACAACAACAGCATTATTATTATTATTATTATTATTATTATTATTAATAATAAGGGATGGGTATGTAGCTGAGGCAGTAGGGTGCTTGTCTATAGTTTGTAGGAAATCCTGGGTTTGATCCCAGCACTATATAAAACCAGAGATGGTCGTCATCCATGCCTACATTTTGAGTTCAAGGTCAGACTAGTCTACCAAAAAAGGGAAAAGATGTATTTACTATTAATGGCATCTCATCTCTTTGTTTATCTTTTTTTTTTCAAGGCAGGATTTCTCTGTGTTTCTCTGGCTTTCATGGAACTCACTCTAGCACAGGCTGGCCTCAAACTCACAGAGATTCCCCTGACTCTGCCTGCTGGGAGCTGGGATTAAAGATATGCACCCCTACTGCCTGGCTCCTCTTAATTAGTTTTAATTAAAATATTTAATGTGTGTGTGTGTGTGTGTGTGTGTGTATACATGTATTTGTATTTGTGTGGGCAAATGTGGATGTTCTTCCTATAGTCTTAATTTTTTCCCCAAATTTACTTGCTTAGGAAGGGTAGAAAGGATTTGGATGCATTTATAACTCAATAGGTAGGACACTTACCTAGCATCCATGAAGCCCTGAGTTCTGTCATCAGCACTGCATTAAACCATACAAACCAGGTGTGGGTTAGTGAAATGGCTCAAGCTAGTTAAAAGTATTTTGGAGCAAGCCTTGGGGACCAGATTTCAATTCTCAGAACTCATGTAAAAAGGCTGAGTGTACCTGGGCCTGGAGTTCAGTGGCAGAATGCTTGCCTAACATTCAATTTTTGATAAAAAAAATCTGCAAAACTAAATCTGTAATAGTTTTCTTTGCAGGGTGTGGTGGCATAGACCATGCCTCAAAACAGAGTGAAAGGAAAGAACTAACTCCTGAAAGTTGTCCTCTGATTTCACTATGTAGGACTTTCAAAGCTAGGGAGATAGTGCAATTGGTGCTAGCCTTGAAAACAGGAGAATGTGTCTTTGAACCCCAGAACCTATATACAAAGTTTGAGCATTGTGACACATGTCTGTGATTCCCGTTCAGGAGAGATAGAGATAGGCAGATCTTTGGGGCTCACTGGCTAGCCAGCCTAGCCTACTAGGTGAGCTCCAGTCCAAAGAGAGACTCAGGTCTCAAAGACACACTTGAAGTTGTCCCCTGGCCTCCATATGCATCTCTACAGACAGGAATACATGGATGTGCACACAGAAGCACATGCAAAAAAGAGAGGGGATATGGTGGTTTTAATATATAGAAAAATAACAGTTGTCTATAACTGGATATACTAGTGTGGTGGTTTGTGTTTTTACTAAATTAAGAAATGGATAATTAATTTTTTCCCCTTAATAGGAAAAAGCATAGATGAGGATACTGTTATATTAACTTTATATATCACTTTACACCCATGTAACAAGGTTTTTTTTCCTTTTTAGACAGTCTCATGTAGTCCATGCTAGCTTTGAACTCTTGATCCTCCTGCCTCAACCTCCGAAGTGCTGGGATTACACATATTCATCTTTCCTATATGACATGAGAGCTCATTTCTTTTTAGGATCAAATAATATTCCAAACTACTGATAGTTTTATTCCACTTTCTAAATAATAAACAGGCTAAGAAGGTGTAATTGTCTTCCCTACATAGAGTTGGAACAGCTTGGAAACATTTTCCCCTGCTTCCCATCTTAGGGAAACGTAGTTTGTCACAACAAACCTAGGCACAGGTCAGAGTTGGAGTGGATGGAAAGTCAAAGGAATAAAGGCAGCTGTTTTCCTCGTAGGAAATAACCTTAGCTTTCTGTCTAGTGGCAGGAATAAAAGCCACAAAAATCAAGAGAGGGTAGTAGTTGATAAATATAAAGAAAAGTATAAGAGCTGGAGAGATGGTGTAGTAGTTAAGAGCACTGGCTGCTCTTCCAGAGGACCTGGGTCCAGTTCCCAGCACTCACATGGCAGTTCACAGCTGTCTATAATTCCAGTTCTAGGCATCTGCAGGCACCAGACATACATAGATATACATGCAGGCAGGAAAATAACCATATGTGTAAAATAATACAAAATTTAAAAAAGTGTAGTCATGTGTATGAAAATGTCACAGTGAAACCCCTTACTTTGTATGATAACTCAAAAAGATAGTTGATAAGTACTTTTAAAAAATCCCTTGTAGTGGGTTTCTCTGCCAATGCAATAAGCCAAATTGACCAAATTAATAAATCCAGATTTAATAAATAGAGCAAAGCACTTCCAAGTGACTCTTGTAAAGGCAGGAGAGAAACCACGAAGCAAGGCTAGCAAACAGGTTTTAAACACCCTGTAGGCGTGGTCTTGAGTGGCTCTGGGGGGGAGGAGCTGACCCATGGCGAGCTTTCTGAGGGGCGGAGTCTGGAATGGTAGGAGTAGGGCTGAGAGTTCCCTGTTCAGCTGGGTTTGGAATGGGGGAGTGAGACCAGAGAGGAGTAATGAAAAGAAAAGAAGCCTACAAAATAATACTTTGCAGTTCCAGAATGTGGGGACCGAAGGCAGGAAGATTAGGAAATCAAGGCCAATGTTGACCTAGAACTCTCGTTGATCTGAGATTACAGGTTAGGTGTAAGGTGCCTGCCTTGTACTCTCATTTATTTATACACTTTTTGGTTTTCTTTGAGACAGAGTCTTTCTATGTAGCCCTGGCCTACATGGTACTCCTTATGTAGCCAATGTTAACCTGAAAGGCTTGGCAGTCCTGCCTTGGCCTCTTGAGTTTGTTTCCTTTTTTTTTCTTAGAGACAGGGTCTCACTGTGTAGCTGCAAGTGGCCTGGAACTTGCTATGTTGACTAGGCTGGACTTGAGTTTATGGAGATCTGTCTTTGCCTCCTGAGTCTTGGGACTGAAGAAGTGAGCCACTATACTAGCTAGCTAACTTTATGTTGTTGAGACTGGGTCTTGGCTCTGTAGGACTGTGTGGCTTGGAAGTTATTATGTAGCCCTGGCTGTGTTTAAAATCAGAACTATCTTCTTGCCTCAGTCTCCTGAGTACTGGGATTATAGGCATTGGCTGCCTTGCCTTTTTTTTTTTTTCAGATCTGATTCTTTGTTATTTGAGACAGGGTTTCTCTGTGTAGTCCTGGCTGGCCTGGGACTCATTTTGTAGGCCTGGCTGGCCTCAAACTCACAGGATCCTCCTGCCTGTACTTCCCAAGTTCTGGGATTAAAGAGCCACCATCTCTAGGCTCAAATCTGATTCTTCATTTGGTTGTTTCTCAGATTGCACCTGGGTATTGGCAGCCACCTATTCGCCCGCCAATGAAGTATATCCTGGTTACTGGTGGCGTCATCTCAGGCATTGGTAAAGGGATCATCGCCAGCAGCATTGGGACCATTCTCAAGTCATGTGGACTTCGAGTTACTGCCATCAAAATCGACCCCTATATTAACATCGATGCGGGGACTTTCTCACCTTATGAACATGGTATGAAAAGGAATCTTTCCCTTTTAAAGTGCTAAAGTAAATTGCAGTGGTTTTTTGTGTGTTTAAATTTATATTTTATGGGCATATGTGTATGCAGTTGCCAACAGAGGTTGGAAGAGAAAAGTCCCCTGGAGCTGGAGTTACAATCTGACATTGGGTGCTCTGGGACCTGAACTCTGGTTCTCTGCAAGAGCAGCAAATACTCTTAACTGCTGAGCCATCTCTCCATCCTCTTGTATTATGTTTTGGGTAATTTCTCTAGTATATATAGGCTTCCAGAAGTAGACTTGCTGGAACATACCTTAGAAATGTGCGAAAGTTCTTCTGGCCACTGATTCATTTTTAAGGTCTTTGATGACATTCTACATAGTCAAGTCTTGTGGAAATGTGCCATTTTCTGTGGACTATGTCTTGTTTTATTTTTTCACAAAACTAATACCTTTCACTTAACATTTTCCACTGCTGGAATAACTGTTATTAATATTGACTTTATTTTAGGTGTGTTTGGGGGGGAAGTAAGTGTGAGTGTGTGTGTGGTTAAATGTGTGTGTGCATGTACACACATGTGTGATCATGCATAGATGTGGAGCAAAGAGGTTGATCTCTGGTGTCTTCCTTGATCACTTCCCACCTTATATTTTGAGGCAGGATCTCTCATTTGAGCCCAGGGTCTGTTGATCTGGCTAGTCTAGTTAGCCAACTTCTTGAAGGGATCTCCTATCTGTCTCCAAAGTGCTGAGCTCTGGAGTGCTGGGATCACAGGCAGGCTGATGTGCCTACCAAGCATTGACATGAGTGCTGGGAATCTGAAATATGCCCTCAGGCTTGTGTAGCAAGTGCTTTACACACTGTGACTTCTCCCTGGCACTGACATACATACACACACACACACACACACACACACACACACACTTAATCATACTGTAGCCCAGGCTGACCTGAAATTCACTCTGTAGCCCAGGCTGGCCTTAGATTCATAGTTCTCATCACATCTCAATTTTCTGAGTTCTGGGAGTATAGGTTTAAGTCACTACAATCAGGCATTTTGATAAGTATAAATTGGTTATTTAAAAAAAGATCACCAATACTGGGTTTGGTAGCACATGTCTATCATCCCAGAATTTGAGAGATGAGACAGGAAGAATGGGGCTTCAGAGAAGGAATCAAGGCCAGCTTTAGTCTGCTACATAGTCAGAGGCCAGCTTGGGTTACATGAGACCCTGTCTCATAACGACTACAACTTCAGGGCAAGCAGGGGCTACATGGGACCCTATCTCAAAAGAACAAGAACAAAATGGAAATGAAAAAAAACAAGGGGCTGATGTCTTCTATTCAGTATAATGCCACATAACTATAGAGAATTGAGTTTGTATCCCAAGCACCCATGTAGAAGCCAGGCATGGTGTTGAGCATCTGAATCTCCAGCACTGCTGAGGCAGAGAAGGGATAGATCCCTGGAGCCCATTGACTAACTAGGCTTGCAGAGTGGATGATTTCCTGGTTCATTGGAAGACCAGTTCAGGTGCAGAGCAATTGAAAAAGACACCTCTGGCCTCCACATGTATGGACACACACATACATGCATAGTTGCATTCACATTTTCATATATCCACAGGAACACATATGTACACCACATATACTAAAATAAAAGACATTAGCTTTAAATTTTTTGCATTTATTTGTATTTACTTATTTCTCTCTCTCTCTCTCTCTCTCTCTCTCTCTCTCTCTCTCTCTGTGTGTGTGTGCATGCCTGCATGTGCTATGTTGAGTGTGTGGGAGTCAGAGAGCAACTTATGATAGTTAGTTCTCTTTCTACTATGTGGGTCTTCAGGTTTGAATTCAGATTGTCAGGTTTGGCAGCAAGCACCCCTACTTGCTGAGCAATCCTGCAGGCCCTCAAACCTTTTTTTTTTTTACACAGAAGCAGAGAAGTGCATACATCTTAAATGTATAACTTTGATGATGAATTTTATCTAAATGAATTTACTGTGTAACCGGCCTTGATCTCAGAAAAAAAAAAATCACCTTTGTGGGTTGGGCAAATGGATCAGTGGGTAAAGTTGCTTGCTGCCCAACACTGCAAACCTAATGATCCTCAGAGCCTACCATATGGTGAAAGGAGGCAATCAACTCATAAACTGTCCTGAGATTTCCACATGTGAGTCTTGGCACAAGAGCCCCCTCCTCTATTATGTGCACACGCGTGCGCGCGCGCGTGCGCGCGCACACACACACACACACACACACACACACACACTAATAGTAAATAAAACATTGCAAAGGAAAACAGTGAAATCCCTTTTATGTTCCTTGTTCTTGATCCTTGACTCTCATGGTATCTTATATCCTGTTTTGTAGCATCTAAACTGTGCACTAGTTTTACTTTTTTCCCCCCATCTCTTTTTGGGGATGAGTTGTTTGCTTTCAACTACTGGGCTCAAGGAATCATTTTATCTCAGTCTTCTCAGTATCTGGAACTGAAGGCTAGTACTACCATACCCAAAGAGCTTTTTGAACAATCATTTCCATTTTGATGTTAGTTGAATCTTAGTTATACTATTTTTCCTTCCTTTCTTGTTTCTTTTTCTGTTTCTTTTTGATGGTCCAGTCTTAAGGGTTAATTTCTAAAAATAAATTGGTAGATGGCTCTTTCCAATTTAAAAAATGAGAGTGTTTCCCAAATTTGTCATACATTGTATGTGTGCACACATGTGTGTGCATGTTCTCTCTCTCTGTTTCTGTCTCTGTCTCTCTCTCTGTCTCTCTCTCTCTCTCAAGTGCAGTGTCACAAGTTCTGGGATCATAGGTATGAGTTTCCTTGCCTGACTGAAAATTAATCTTTTGGAAGTAAGTTTTAATTCTACATTGCCTTTTGATTATAGGTGAAGTATTTGTTTTAAATGATGGTGGAGAAGTTGATTTGGACCTGGGAAATTATGAAAGATTCTTGGATATTAATCTTTATAAAGACAACAACATCACCACTGGGAAGATATATCAGCATGTGATCAATAAAGAGAGGTGTGGTGATTACCTGGGAAAGACTGTTCAAGGTATTTTACTACACGTCATTATGGACCCTGTATGCTAAGCATCACTCAGAGCAGACTATTTCACAGACATGAGAAGGTTGTGGGTCCTGAAATCTCTGCTTTCTTTTCCTTTTTACTCAGAAATGTAAAGATTGCCTTCCACCAATGTTCCTGAATATATCTTCATCATTTTTTATTATTAGACAGTATTTTTAATTTGAATTGTCTTTTTTTTTGAGGAAGGGTCTCATGTAGCCCAGGTTGGCCTTTAACTTGCTATGAAGCCAGGAATGACTTTGAATGTGATGATCCTCCAGCCTCCCACCTACTTCTGTGTATTAGTCACTCACCCTTCCTTCTTCCCTCCATCCCTCCCTCTCTCCTTCCTTTTCCTCCCTTTCTCCTTCCTTTCCCTCCCTCCCTTCCTTTTTTTTGAGTAACATGGCTTCTTCCTGATCAAATGGAGGATTTCTTAAAAATGATTTATTTTTATTTTAACTGTATTGGTGTTTTGCCTGCATGTGTGTCTGCGTGAAGTGGTCGGAGCCTCTGGAGCTAGAGTTACAGATAGTGGTGTGCTGCCATGTGGGTCCTGGGAATTGAACTCAGGTCTTCTGGAAGAAGAGCCTTAACTGCTTAGCCATCTCTCTAGCCCCTATTAGTCACTTTTCTATTACTGTGATAAAACAATGACCAAGGCACCTTATAGAATAGTTGATTTGGGCTTACGGTTCCAGAGGGATAAGAGTCCATTGCTATCACATGGGGTGGAGGACACATAGCAGTAACTAGGCATGGCTGCTGGAATAGCAGTCTGAGAGTTCACACCTTGAACAACAAGCAAGAAGCACAGAGAGCACACTGGGAATGGTTTCCAGCCTTATTGGCAATCACCCTTACCCACTGAGTCATCTCACTCGTAATTATTATTCTTTTAGACTATTAAGTTCATGAACTGCATGCACACTTGTAATCCCAGCATATGAGAGGTAGAGACTGGAAGAGAAGGTGTTCAGAGTCATTTTTACCTACAGAGCAGGTTTTAGGCCAGCCTGAGCTGTATGAGCCCTTTGCTTGAAAAGAAAAAAAAACCATTCATTAGTGGCTGGAGAGATTGCTCAGGAGTCAAGAGCACTTGTTCTTGCGGAGGACCAGTTTAGTTCCCTGAACCCATAGGGTAGATAATCACTGTGTATATCTCCAGTTCCAGGGGATCCAATGTCCTCTATCTTAAGAAGGCACCAGGCGTGATGGACATACATACATGCAGGCAAATCAGCCATATGCATAAAATAAGTAAAAATTTAAAAAAGAAAGAAAACAATTAAAGTTTTGGTATTTTTGGCTGGGCGTGGTGGTGCAGAAAGATAAAGTTCAAGTACAGCCTAGTCTCCATAACAAGTTTCAGGCCACTCATGACTACACAGGGAGACCCTGTTTCAAAAATAAACATAAGCAAAACAAAAAAAAAAAGTTTATTTTATGGTAATTTATTACAGAAGCCCTAGAAAACTAAAATAATACCCAGGTGGTTTTTGACATTTCCCTGCTGGAACCCTGGTGAGTGGGTGGGCTTCATCTACACCCTTGAAGTGGACTTTTCCACTGGTATCCCCAGGGTACTTAGGCCTTACCTCTGTACAGCTGCTAGTTGTCCTTCCCGTGGATTATAGCATCTGGCTTAACCAGAATTCTTCCTTGCCCAGTTTTCAGATAGCATGACATGTAGCTCCTAGGTTTTTTGTTTTAAACTATTTATTTATATTTATATGTGTGTGTATACGATGTATGTCACATGTATGTTTGTGTGCCCTTGGAAGCCAGAAGAGGGTGTTAGATTCCCTAGACCTAGAGTTATAGTCAGTTATAAGTCTCTAAATGTGGCTGCTAGGAACTGAACTCGGGTTCTTTAGAAAAGCAACAAGTACTCCTAACTGCTAAGCCACCTCTCCAGACTGGTGTTTTCTTGCCCGCACCAGTGATAGCACTTGTTCCAATTTCTTGTTCTCTGCATCTGGCGTGCTTCAAGAGCAAAGGTTATCATGGGAATGACTAGCCTTACATTCCTCAGTCCATACTGGTTCCAGCGATGGAGACAATGGCATAAGATCTCTAGCTGGTCTCGTTTGCCTGGTGGCTTTCACCTCATTTGGGAGGTCCATCTCTATCTCATGAAATAACCTGCTGTGTTATTTATTCCTTCTTTCTGCAGTTGTCCCCCATATTACTGACGCTATCCAGGAGTGGGTCATGAATCAAGCCAAGGTGTCTGTGGAGGGTAATAAGGAGGACCCCCAGATATGCGTTATTGAGGTAAGCATGGAACTATTCTTCATAAGCTACTCCTCTGCTGGGTCTTTAAGCATCCAGATTTCATTCACTCTCCCCTCCTGGGTATTGCAAACTAGGCTGGGGGTGGGGTTCCATCAGGGACCAACAGAGATGCTCACAAGCCACTTAACAAACAGGTAATCCCACATTCTCTTGGGGTGACTATGCATGCAGTGAGCTGTGTGTGTGTGTAGACAGATGAGTGACATTGTCAGTGTTGGGGATGGAGCCTGGAATGGACAGTTTCTTCTGTCCCACTGTCCAAACAAATGGAATGTATTCTTTATTTGATGACAGTCTTAGGTAGCCCAGGCTGCCCTTGAACTTGATATATAGCCAATAAAGCCTTTGAATTCCTGATCCTTCTGCCAAGTGCTAGGATTGCAGGTATGTGCCATTCCTCCTGGTTTATGCTGTGCTGGGGATAGGATCTGGGACTTCATGTGTGCTAGGCACATATGCTACCACCTGAGAGCTACATCCCTATCCCAGAGTGTATTTTAATTCCTAGTATTGGAGAAATATTTGCAAAGTGCTGTGAAAAAGTGGAGTTTGGGTTGGGTGGAGGTGGGAGGTGATGTCAACCATTTCAAGAAAGCAGCATTTGAAGTTGCCACTTGTTGACTGCCCCGACTTTTCCTTCATTCCTTTATGTCTATATAATATAGTGTGTTATACAAACTGTGTACTACCTGGGTGTGTCTTCCTTCCTGGGTTATACCAAGGAAGTGCTTCCTCTTAAAAATGAGAGAGAGGGGGAGAGAGAGTGTGTGTGTCCCAGTGCTCATGTGGAGGTCAGAGGACAACTTCCTCCTTGTTTGAGACAGGGCCTCTGTTTCTCACTGCTTTGTATACCAGGCTGATTGACCTGTGAGCTTCTGATGATCCTCCTGCTTCCACATCCCATGTCTTGGTAGGCCCACACTACCATTACAGACACTTGTGCTACTTACTATGTCTGGTTTCCATGTGAGTTCTGGGATCTGAACTCAACTCCACTATGTAGCCAAGAATGACCCTGAATTTCTGAACCTTCTGCCTCTGCCTCCCAAGTGCTGGGCTTACAGGCATGCATCCCGTATCCAGTTGTAGGTGGTACTGGGGGTTGGACTCGGCTTCAGACTCTATCAACTGAGCTGCATCCTTAGTTTCCTTTCTAGGTTTTTTGTTGTTATTATTTTGTGCATCAGTGAGATCAGTGAGTTCATCGGTCCTGCTTAGAAAGCACCAGAGAGATTAAAAAAAAAAAAAAAAAAGTCAGGCATGGGGGCACAGGTTTTTAATCCCAGCACTCAGATCATATGTAGTACCAAATGCTAATGTATGTTTCTTAAACATTTAAACTTATGATAAAATTATTTTGTGTGTGTGTGTGTGTGTGTGTGTGTGTGTGTGTGTGTTTGGTTGTTCTTTGAGAATAGGTTTTACTCTATCATCCAGGCTAGCCTGAGATTCATTATGTAGCCTATGCTAGCCTATCCCTCACAGTAATCCTTGTGCCTCGGCTTCCCAAGTGCTAGAATTATAGTAGTATGTCACCACTTTGACTTACAAGTTTAAGTTGTAAGTTGGATATAATAAAAGAGTGAGAATGACAAAAATAGAACGATTATAACAATCAATTACAGTGAAAGTTATTAAAAACTTATGGATTATCTATTTGTAGTTTTAAGTTTCATAAGTACTTATAGTAAGAAAAGACTATCTCAAGCTTTCTGAACACAGTGCTAATGGTGACTAGAGGTAAAGGGAACTTCCAAATGGGTTGAGAGGTTGCAGTGCCACAATAGACCACAAGAGGGCAGGAATGGATAAGATTTAAAGCCTTGGTCCCCCTTTCCTCATTCTCCAGTGATCCCTGTTGAAAAGCACTAGAGGAAGATCCAGAGACAGAGGGAAGGAGTTTGAAGCTAGCCTGTGCTACATATGGAGCTCCAGTCCAGTCTGAGAAACAGAGTCAGACCCTGTCACAACCCCGTCCCCCGAAAAACACACAAACAAGTCAGGTGGTGGTGATGCACGTTTTTAATCCCAGTACTCAAGAGGGAAAGAGAGGCAGGTGGATCTCTGTGAGTTCGAGGACAGCTTGTTCTACAGAGCTAGTTTTGGCACATCCAGGGCTACACAAAGAGACCCTGTCTCAAAAAAACAAAACAAAACAAAACAAAAAACACACCGACAAACAAAAGAGAAAAACTGAAGGGGCATATAGCTCAGCAGTAGAGTACTTGCTTAACATATGTGAGACCCTGGATTATGTCCCCAGCAACACAAAAAACACAAAGGACAAAATCCTCTAAGGCATGCCCGTATGGTTTGGTTTAAATACAGACTTTTCTTTCTTTTTTTCCAGACAGGAACATGAAATGTAGCTTTGGCTGGCCTGGAACTGGTATGTTGATCTTGAACTCACAGAGATCCACTTGCCTCACCAGCTTCTATCTTGAGCACTGAAATTAGAGGTGGCAGCTACTCAGTCTGTCTTTAAAATTTGACTTATCTTTTGTATGCATCTGTGGTGTATGTGTGTTCACATGTACATACACAATTATGCATGTGTATTCAAATACCTGTGCAAACCAGGGTTCTTCTTTGGTTACCGGTTGCTCACCACCTTATTGTTTGAAACAGGGTCTCACAGAACCTGTAGCTTACTGATTTGGCTGAGCTGGCTAGCCAGCAAGCTCCAGGGATCTGCCTGTCTCCACCCGCACCTTCTGGGGTGGGGTTACAGATACTCACTGCTATGCACAGTGTTTACGTTTGCTTGTGAATCCTAACTCAAGTCCTCATGCTTGCCTGGCAATCATATTATTGACTGAGCTACTGTCCCTGTTTGTATTTATCGAGACTGTGTTTTTGCATGTATTTCAAGCTAACCTTGAAGTTAGTATGTAATCTAGGTTGGCCTTGAATTTACAACAATTTTCCAGCCTCATTCAGCTTCCCAAACACTGCGGAGATTACAGATGTGTGTTCCTCCCTTTGCTGCTGCCGCCACACAAGCCACTGCCTCTTCTTCTTCCTCCCTCCCTTCCCCTCCTTTCCCCTCCCTCCCTGGCAGGATCTTGGTATGTCCATCCTGGCCTCAAACTGGAAATTCTCATACTTCTACCTAGGACTTTTTTGTTTTTGGGATTTTTGACCTTCATTGTTTCTTTTTCATTCTGGTGTCTCATAGTTAGTGAGCACTTAATATCCTGCTAAGGTTCTGATTACATTTTGGTGTTGTTAGTTAGAATTCTCATGTAGTTCCTGCTGTCCTCACACTTGCTGTGTAGCTGAGATGACCTTGAACTTCTGATCTTTCTGTCTTTCCCCAAGTGCTGGGGTTACAGGGTGTGGTCAGCAATCCTGCCTGGCTTTATTTTCTATAGAAGCTCAAGGTCATTCTTGGCTACATTGTGAATTAGAGGCCAGCCTGGGCTACACAAACCCTGTAGTATTGATCATGTAGTGGACAGGGTTTCTCTATACACCCTTGGCTGTCCTGGCACTTGATCTGTAGACAAGGCTAGCCTTGAACTCACAGAGATCTGCTTACCTCTGTCTCTGAGCACTGGAATTAAAGGCATGTGCCATTACTGCCCTGCAGATCTTAAAATGACATCTCTAGCATTTGAGCATCTGCTACAAGACATGTGCCATTACTGCCCCGCAGATCTTAAAATGACATCTCTAGCATTTGAGCATCTGCTATATGATCAATACTCCAGGCAAAGTGTTGGGAAGAACTGGAAACATTCCCAGCCAGAGTAAAAGGAACACACCTGTAATACCAGTACTCAGAATGCAAAGGCAAAAGGACCACTACTAGTTTGAGGCTAGCCAGGGCTACATTGTGTGTGTGTTTTTGTCTCACAATGTAGCCCCCATCTTGGAGGCAAGCGCTTTACCCACTGAGCCATCTTACCAGCCCTTAGAACTTTCTACCTGCGTGTGAGTTCTGTGGCTCTGTCTCACTCCTTTTTTATGTTTTTAAAATCTTTTTATTTTTATGCATGTGGGTGTTTTCTCTGCATGCATGTCTGTGTACCATGCCTATGTAGTCCCCTCTTGGGACAGACGAGAGCAACCTCTAGGACTTGAATTGCAGGTAGTTGTGAGTTGCCATGTGGGTGCTGGGAGTTGAACCCAGGTCCTCTGGAAGAGCAGCCAGTGCTTTCAATCACCCAGCCATCTCTCCAGCCTCTCTCTCTCTTCTTTTGAGAATGAGTTTCACTGTAGCCCAAGCTGGCCTGGAACTCACTATTTAGCCTAGGCAGGCCTCAAACTCAAGGCAATCCTTGAGTTTTGCCTTGCCTTTATTGGGTCACCATGCCTGGATATTTTATTTTATTTTGGAGACAGGATGTATGTACTCCAGGCTAGTCTTGAACTTGTGATATTTCTACCTCAGTTTCCCCAGTGCTGGGATTATAGATGTGTCTCACCAGACCAGGATTTTTTTTATTAATAGTCATATTGAAGTTGAATGTCATAAAATTTCACTCATTTTAAGTGTATAATGTAAGATTTCAAGCATTTATAAACTACTGTTCTTGTGAAAATATTAAACCTCAGTTCTTATTACCACTCTATTAAAGTAATTTCTAAAGCTGGGGATGGCGGCATACACCTTTAAAACTAGCTTTTGTGAGGCGAAGGCAGGTGGATCTCTGAGTTAAAGGCTAGTTTGGTTTATAGTGTGAAAAGTTCCAGGATAGCCAGAGCTACACAGAGAAATCTTGTCTCAAAAATAAAAATAAGACAAAACAAAATTATTTCTAAACCACGTGTGGTGGTTCATGTTACATGTTCAAGACCAGTCTGGGCTGTGTAGCAGTCCAGGCCACCCTGGGCTACAATAGGAAACTCCCCAAAAGTAATAATTACTTAATTTAGCTGGTTGTTTTGGTACATGTCTTTAATTCCAGCACTTGGGAGGCAGAGGCAGGCAGATCTCTAACTTTAGAGCCTTCCTGGTCTGTGTGGGGAGTTCCAGGTCAGCCAGAACTATAAAACCAGACCCTGTCTAAAAAGAAAAATTGCTTAACTTAAAAAGCAAGAAAATTTCATTGGTTTGTGTGCTGTGGAAAATGTTTGGTCATTTGTGCCTTAATCTTGTTTTCCACCTTCAGCTGGGAGGCACCATTGGAGACATCGAAGGAATGGCATTTGTGGAAGCATTCCGACAATTCCAGTTTAAAGCAAAAAAAGAGAATTTCTGTAATATTCATGTCAGCCTTGTACCACAGGTGCGTTTTCCACATATGCGAATAGAAACTTTGATCAATTTTGCACTGATGTTTTCTGCGACCTACATTTGAAATTCAAGAGCCATAAATTGTCCAGTTGTTCTGATGGGGACCCATTTCTTTTTAGCCGAGTGCTACTGGAGAACAAAAAACCAAACCCACACAAAACAGTGTCCGTTCGCTGAGGGGGTTGGGCTTGTCTCCAGATCTGGTGAGTTAAGCACAATGGGTAAGTTTGTCTCTATAGTCTTTTGGAGTAGGACCTCCATGCCACAGGCTCTATCTAACACACACTAACAGTGGTTTAGTTCCTCTTTTGGTTTTGGTGCTTGGGATGGAATTTAGGGCCTTACACATACTAAACATGTGTTCTACCGCCTTTGAACTATTAACCCCTCCCCCCAGTACCTCAATCTTTTAACATCTGAGTTATTTGTCCCTCCCCTATGACAGCAAACTTTTTGTATCTGGCATCCAGGAAAAATGTATTTCTTTATCCTTAAATTGGCTCCATTTATAGCAGATAAGATACAATGCTCTGTCATTTATAAGGTTCCTGGCTCCTTCGGAGTGAATATGAAGCCTTGGGATTTTCCTGCGTTCCTTCAAGGACTGGCTATCTTTACTCTGAGCTTTAGTCTAAGAAGCATTCATGTGTTCCTACAGCGGTTTCCTATATGCAGTTACAGCGAACAGCTTGTCAGAGGGAGACAGATTAGGGGAAAAGCAGCTGCCTTCTCTTTGTTTTTTCAGGCCAGGGTTTCTTTGTGTAACAGTCCTAGCTGTCCTGGAATTTGATTTGTAGACCAGGCTGGCCTTCAACTCACAGAGATCCTCCTGCCTTTGTCTCCTGAGTGCTAGAATGAAAGGCATGGGTTACCACGGCCAAGCACACAGCTACTTATTTTTATAAATAACTTTATGGACACACAGTTACTCATTTATTTACATATAGTCTGTAGCTGTTTTGGCACAGCTGATGAGGACCCCGCGTGCCTTACCTGGAAAGCTAAAATGTTTTCTGTGTGACCCTTTAGTGAAAGTTTGTCAACTTCTGATCTACATCTTCTTCTATTTAACGAGACAGCCATGCAGAGCTTTAACTCTTCACCAGAGACATTTTGATGTTTTGAGTTCTTTCTGGTAGATTTCTGTTGAACTTAGTGAGATGTGCTTATGCTAGTGGTCAGACCAATTTCTTATGCTACAGAGGAATGCTCAGAGTGAACAAGTTCATCCTTGGTCTAGTCTCTTGTAGAAGAAAAAGAATGTAATGATTTTCTGGACAATGAATTGAACAATTGATCAGCCCTGTTTCCATGTACTGACCAATGCATAATTGCCTTTCACAGATTGTCTGCCGTAGTTCCGCACCCATTGAGATGGCTGTGAAGGAGAAGATTTCCATGTTTTGTCATGTGAACCCTGATCAGGTTGGTGCTTGGTGCCCTTTAGATTAAAATTTATTCATTTTGTGTGTGTGTGTGTGTGTGTGAGCATGCACCCTTCTTCCCTGACCCATGTGTGGAAATCGAGGACAGTTCTGTGGATGGAATCCATTCTCTCCCACCTTTAGGTTGGTTTCAGAAATCAACATAAAGTTGTGAGGGTATGTTGCAAGTACCTTTACTGCCTGAGCCACAGGGTCTTGCATAGCCAGGCTGACCTTGAATTCCTGATTCTCCTATATCCTATATGCTGAAAACACAGGCAGGAGCCACTACTTGAAGCTCTGGGGGAGCATTTTAGCTCAGTGAAACTTGTAACAAGAGAACTGTGTGCTTTCTCTTTAGCATTTTTTCATCCTGTGTTTTGCTGGGACACTCACTGCTTCATTCAGTTCTCTTTTGTACCTGGTACAGCTTAACACGCCTTAAATCACACAAGTATGCTGACATTCATGCTATGGTTTCTGATCACATAAGCAGCCCAGCTGATTTCATTGCTCAATAAATTACCATAAAAGTTAGACTCTGGCCTTGTGTTCTGCTGAACTTCCATCTGGAGTATTCTGACATTTATATTTTCTTTTTCTTTCTAGCTCTTGTTCCCAATAAACCTAAGGTACAAGGGGTTGCAGTTGGCTATAGTTTATAAAGGGTGGTGTGACTAGAGCTCAGGCACAGGGTGAGGCTTGCTAGACACCCTTCACAGCTTCTCTAACAGTTGCTTAATGGGGTATCTGCTTGGGGAGTGGGCTGCTAGAGTCCTCTGTTTGAGACTTCCAAGCCCGAACTGCTTTCAAAAGCAGACTTGACTCTCTGTGTGTTCTCTTAATGTCTGGGCTACATTGTTTTGATTCAGTCGTTTTGTGTACCCTTCCTCTTGGTAGACAGTGCTTTGCATGTGGATTAAGCAAATGCAGCCTGGTTTCTAGAATAGAAAAAGACGAAACATTTTGCGTTGGATTGCTGAAAGCTCAGAGAACGAAGGTGGAGTTCCCACTGTGGCGTTGTGGAGTCTAAGACCTGTAACAATGATCCAAGTCTCTTTTATTTTTAAGATTTATATTTATTATATGTGTGTGGGTTTGTATGAGTGAGTACAGTTGCCCAAAGAGGTTGGGCATGTTGGATCCCCTGGAGCTGGAGTTGCAAGTGTTTTTGAGCTATCTGATGTGGGTGTTGATAATCTAACTCTCAACCTCTGCAAGAACTGTAAGTACTCCTGACTACTGAGCTCTCTCTTCAACCCCAGTGATTCAGTCTTGGTTTTCTTTTTCTTTTCTTTTTCAAGACAAGGTTTCTTGTGGCTCAGGCTGGCTTCAAGCTCTCTGTATAACCAAGGATGACTTTGAACTCCCGATCCTCCAGCTTCTTATCATGTGTGTCATAGCATGGTGAATGAGTAAATAACGCCATGCTTTCTGCTTGTGGAAGTTGCAGTTGCCTATAGATTCAATGGATTTTTTAATGTGTCTGAATGCTTGTCTGCCTGTATGTAAGTATTTATACCAAGTAGGTCCCTGGTGTTCAGAAAGGCTAGAAGAAGGTATAAGATCTTCTGAGACTGGAGTTACAGACAGTTCCATTCAGGTCCTGGGGACCAAATTTGGGTCCTCTGGAAGAACAACAGCTGTTGAGCCCCTCCACACTTTTGAGTCAAGGTCTTCATAGTCTAGTCCATGATGGCCTTAATCTCAAGATCCTCCTGCCTCAGCCTCCTGAGTGCTGAGATAACAGGTGGGTGGTAGCGTTCTTGGCTTGAGATTTAGGTAGTTTTTATTTTCCTCCCAGGAATGGTTGTCATGTAGCCCAGACTGGACTGAAACTGATTCTCTTGCCTCTGTCTCACAAGTACTGAGATTATAGGAATCCACCACCATGCCTGCTGCTTTTTTCCCTTTGGTATTGGCGATACTAGAAAAGTCCTCCAACACTGAGCTGCAACCCTCTTGAGATTGAGTTTGATTAGTAATTGGGATGGAGGCACATGTTGGTGACATCTTGGCACTTGTAACTCCCCTGGTACATGCACAGTAATGCACTATAGCCTGAGTAGCAAGTTGGCAATATTCAAACCAATGAAGAACTCATTGATTTTATAGTTGTGGTATTGGGAAAATTGAACCTGGAGTTGGCAGAACATTTTTGGCGTTTATTTAAGATTTGGTAGATTCTTAAATGCCTCCATGTAACGTCTCATGTTATGGAGAGAATGTTAAAAGCCATCAGGTTAAGTGAAAAACACCCACAGCTTAAAGGCAGTCTTTTAATAGATGTTATTAATTTCCCTATGGTCAATGTGCCCATGTAAATTTACCCGAGAGAAGGGGACAGGGAACAATGTGGCAGATATCAGGTGAAAGCAACTACAGCAGCAGGGATAACAATCTCATACACACCTGTACAGACAAGGCCCATCTAAGCATGGTGCTTCTGAGGCCACACTGGGCAGTACACATAAGCTATGTCTGTTTACTACTTGTTTATTTCTAAATTCTTTTGAGACTTTTTTTTTTGTAGTTCAGGCTGGTCTCCACCTTGTTACATAGAGGAGGGTGAACTTGAGCTTCTTTCTGATCTTTCTGCCTTAAGCTCCCCTGCAAATGCTGAGATTTCAGGCTTGCATGACTATGTCCAGCTTTAAAAAAATTAAATTACATTTGTGTGAGAGAGTATGCTTTTTGTGTTATGGTGCCTATGTGGAGGATCTAACTCAGGTCATTAGGCTTGGTGCTTAGTTACTTTGCCAAACACGCTCCCCCACTCCAGCTTTTATATATAAACAGGGTCTCAGTAGCCTAGACTGGCCTACATAATAGATGCTGACTTTGATCTTCTTGCTTCCCAAATGCTGGGATTAGATGTTTGTGCCAACCTGTGGTATTTAAAAAACAGAAAAACTAAACCCTAATAAACCAAGCAGGGTCTCATTTAGCCCTGTCTGGCCTCAAACTAGACCAGGGCTACTTCTGCCTCCTGCATGCTGAGATTAAAGGTGTGCATCACCACACCTGGCTTCTCCAGAGGTGCTCATTCATTCATTCATTCATTCATTCATTCATTCATTCATTCATTCATTCATTCATTCATGTGTTGAGATGTTTTCTTTGTATGTATGCCTGTGTACCATGTGTGTGCCTGGTCTCTCAGAGACCCTGGGACTAGAGTTACATGATGGTTATGAATTGCCATGTGGTTACTTGAAATTGAACCCAGGTCCTCTGGAAGAGAAGCCAGTGCTCTTAACCATTGAGCCATTTCTCCAGCTCTTTGTCCAGAGTTTTTATTTAACTATTTGTATGGCATGGTTAGTGGACTGTTTGGCCATGTGTTTGAACTCAGTCCCCAGCCTCCTTCCCCTCCCCAGATATTAGTTGGTAGTCCTTTAATCACTGAGTTGGTTTTTTTGGTGACCATTTGGAAGTTTTCTCAGGACCACCAGGAATCATCTCAGTTGCATAATAACGACACTTGCTTCACTGAGGAAATGTGAGAGGGTTTTGAAGCGTTGTGCCAGGAACTGGGGCATGTACATTCCTCTCTCATGATCTGCAAGGGATTGGTTATTCTAGGACTCCACAGGAATATCAGATTCCTCTAGTGCTCAAGTCCCTAAAAGACAATGGTGCAGGGCTGGGTGCTTTCTGCTAAGCATCACAATCTGAGTTCAGTTCTTATGACCCATAATGGTGGAAGGAAAGGAACCAACTCCTGCACGCTGTCCTCAGACCTCCACACATATGTCATCCATGCTTGTGTGCCCTCTCCCTCTCAAGAAATGTAAAAAATGACACAGGTGTAGTACTTGTATATAACCTGAACATCCTCCTGAATATTGTATCTTTAGATGACTTACACCCAGTACAATGTCAAAATGATGTAAACAATATATGGTATTGTCCATGGAAAAGTGGAATGAACATGTATAGTACATGAATGTTTTTGATCCATATTTGGTTTAATCTGCTGATGTGGAAGCAATATATATATATATATATATATATATATATATATATATATTTCTGTCTCTCATGTATATACATATATAATATACTATTTTATCTGTATATTTTATTATACTATATAATTATTCTTTGGGGGTATGATAATGAACTCAGAGCTTTTATAGTTAAACTAATCTTGTGCTATTTCTGACTCTTGTTTAGTTTACTGGGTTTTCTTTTTCTTTCTTCCTTTCTTCCTTTTGATTTTTTTAAAAAGAGTGATTTATTTTATGTGTGAGTTCTTTGCATGAATGTATGTTTGTGTACCATATCCATGCCTGGTGCCTGCAGAGGTCAGAAGAAGTTGAAGTTGTTGAATCTCCTGGAACTGGAGTTAGTGATTGTCTTATTCACTATTCTATTGCTGTGAAAAGACACCATGACCAAGCCAATTCCTCTTTTTGTTTGTTTGTTTTTTTTGTATTTTTTGTTTGTTTTTGAGACAGGGTTTCTCTGTGTAATAGCCCTGGCTATTTTGGAACTCACTTTTTTAGACCAGGCTAGCCTTGAACTCCAAGAGATCCCCATGCCTCTGCTTCCTGAGTGCTGGGATTAAAAACGTGTGCCACCACTCTTGGCTAACCAAGGCAATTCTCGTAAGACAGGGCATTTGATTAGGGGCTGGCTTACAGTTTGAGGTTTAGTCTGTTGTCATCATGTTGGGGAGCATGGTGGCATGCAGGCAGACACTGGAGCAATAGCTTAGAGCTATATCCTGATCCATAGGCAGAGAGAGAGAGAGAGAGAGAGAGAGAGAGAGAGAGAGAGAGAGAGAGAGAGACAGACAGACTGACTGGGCCTGGCATGGGTTTTTAAAATCTCAAAGCCCACCTTCAGTGATATGCTTCCTCCAACAGAGCCACACCTACTCCTGCAAGGCCTAATCCTTCTAATCTTTTCAAACAGTTCCACTGCCTGGTAACTAAGATTTCAAATATTTGAATCTATAAGGGCTATTCTTATTCAAACTATCACAGTGATGGTTTTGAGCTACCTTATGGGTGCTAAGAATCAAACCAAGGCCATCTCTCCAGCCCATATTCATTCATTTTGTTGGTCTTTTTTTCCTCTTCAGAGCTGAGGAATAAACCCAGGACTTCATGCTTACTAGGCAATTGCTCTACCACTGAGCTAAATCCCCAAACCCTTTCTTTCTTTCTTTTTCTTTTTTTAAAAGAAAAACCATGTAGCATTTATTTATTGTGTGTATATGTATATTCCTGAGTGTGGAGGTCAGAGGATACTCCTGGAGAGCCAGTTCTCCTTCTACCATGTCGATCCCGGGAATGGAACTCAGCTTGTCAGGATCAGTGGCTAGTTGGGTCATCTCGTCAACTCTCAGTTCTTTCTTTTTTGATTATTATTTTTTAAAAATGTAATCTAGTCTAACATTGACCTTACTGTGTAGCTGAGGATGATCTTAAACTTCTGATCCTCCTGTTCTTTTCAACTGTTCAGATCACTGGTGTGTGCCACCATGCTTGGTTTTATGTGGTGCTGATAGTCAAACCCAAGATCCTCATGCATGCTAAGCAGGCAGTCTACCAACTGAGCTGTCAGGGTTTCCTATCTGTTCCTGTGCCAGAAACAGTTTAGGGGAAAAGGTTTTTGTTTTTTTTAAAAAAAAAAAAAACTTGTGGTTCTAGGTTATATTCTAGTCAGTCACTTTTGGGTGGTTAAAGAGAAAGAAATTTGAAGCAGCTAGTCGTATCACAGTGAGAGATGAAGTAATACATATATGCCTACTGCTAGGCTCTCTTTCTCTTCTTTTATGTGGTCTAGGACCCAAACCCAGACAATAGTCCCACCCAGTTTTAGGCTGGATCTTCTTATGTCAGTTAATGAAATTAAGAAATTCCAGGCCAAGCTGGGTGGTGGTGGCTCACGCCTTTAATTCCAGCACTCAGGAAGCAGAGGCAGGTGGATCTCTATGAGTTCAAGGTCAGCCTGTTCTACAGAGTAAATTCAGGACAGCCAGGACTGTTTCACAGAGAAACCCTGTCTTGAAAAACCAGAGAGAAGGGGTGAGGGTGAGGGGGTGAGGGGAGGAAGAGGAGGGAGAGGGAAAGGGGGGAGAGGGAGAGAGAGGAGGAGAGGGGTTAGAGGGGGATGGAGAGAGGGAGAGAGAGACAGAGAGATTGGTTGATTGATTCCAAGCCAGTTGTGGTGGCATATGTTTTAATCCCGTCACTCAGGAGGCAGAGGCAAGTGGGTCTCTGTGAATTTGGGATCAGCTCTGTTCTGCATAGTGATTTCAAAGCCATCCAGGGTTGCATAATGAGACCTTTATCTTTAAAAAGTAAATCCCTGATAGAGACATGCTCAAAGGCCAATTTGATTTAGACAGTTGCTATTTGAGACCGCAGGTAGATTGTATTGTATCAAGTTGACAATTAAAACTAAACATCACTGCTCCCTCTCTCCTTCCCTTTCTTTCTGAAGTTGTATTTTGCTGTATATCTGAGGCTAGCCTTGAATTTCTTATGGTCCTCTTGCCTCAGCTTCCTGGGGAGCTGCAATTAGGCCTGTGCCCCAACATGTAGCTTTCTTGGTTTTCTTATTTTCATATAAACTGTTTCTTGAGGTTTGTCTTATTCCAGTGGTGTATTAAGAGAGATGTTTTATTATCATTAATCAGGTCATCTGTATCCATGATGTTTCTTCCATCTACCGAGTGCCTCTTCTTTTGGAGGAGCAAGGTGTGGCTAAATATTTTAAAGAGAGATTGGACCTGCCCATCAGTGATTGTTCCAGTAATTTGCTTTTCAAGTGGAAAGCCATGGCTGACAGGTATGTGAAAGGAATTATTTATGTAAAAATTTTAAACATATATAGGACTTCTAAAAAACCTCTCCCAGTTCTTTCCAAACTTTCTCAGTCTTTATAAATGCATAGGAAATTAGGACTACAGCAATACAGATGAACATACTACAGCATCTGACTTTATGTGGATGTGAACTGAGTTTCTCATGTTTTTGTGGCAAGTTCTTTCCTGACTGATCTATTATCCTGACCTCTTTACATAAGGTTTAATTATTCTTGGGTTTGTAGGTAGAAGTAAAACCTACTTTAAAGGGTCAGTATGTCCTGTTTATAATTTTGTATATGTATGTTCTGGTATGGATTATCTAAATCTGTTGTTAAGAGTATTTCTCTGTGTTCTTGGAAGATTTTTGGAGCTGTTGATTTTTCTGTACTTAAACCCAAGTGAGTTAAAGGTATTTGGATTCTGAACTCACAGAGATCTGCCTGTATCTGCCTCCTGTGTGCTGGGATTAAAGGCTTGTGCCACCACTGCCCAGCTCAAAGGACTGTTTTTAATTCTGGAAGTATTTTGATTTATACATTAACTTATTTTTTATTTACTGAATATTAACCCCACCCCTTCCTTTTCTTTTTTCAGTTCTAGGGCCAGAACTCAGGGCCTTGTGCATATGTTAGGCAAGTGCTCTGTTGCTGAACCACGCTGCTAGCCTAATTTATAGTTGTAAGTGTTGCAGAGTTTTTGTTTTATTTAATGTCTAGCTAACATTTCCTAAAGAGGGTCATTTCAATGGGAAGTTTGGCTCTGCTATTACCATTCCATCTGGCAGTGATTTGTTGCGTGTTTGGTTTGGCCTTGAACTTTTGCTCTTCCTCCAGAGTGCTGGGGTTATATAGGTATCCACCACCATTCCCAGCTCCCATCCAATAGTCATATATTTTTAAAAATTCTTATTTTAAAATTACATTCATTTTATTTTGTGCATATGCAACCTTGCACACCAGTTGAAAGACAGTGTTATAGGAGTTCATACTCTTTCTTTCCCCCAGATCTTTAATTGTATCAGCAAAGACAAGGCTACTTTTATAAGTTCATTTTTGTTGTTGTTTTTTTTTTTCTTTCCCCCAAGACAGTGTTACTTTTTGTATCCCTGACTGTTGTGGAACTCATTCTATAATTCAGGGTGGCCTCAAACTCAGAGGTCTCTCTGTCACTGTATTCTGAGTGCTGTGATTTAAAGTATATGCGGTTACACCCAGTTTATAAGGTTCTTGGGGGTTTAAAGGCATGAGCTTCCATGTCTAGAGAATGTTTTTTTCTTCCCTCTGAGGATTGAACCTTCAAGCATACAAGCCATAATGCGTGAGGTGTATCTCCATCCTGGTGGGGACCCATTCAGCTCACCACAATCTTCACAGTAAATGGAGATTGCAGTATCTGTATCATGTTGGCAGTGATGCTGGTTTATTGGTAACTGTAATGTGGAATGGCCACCCGTTCATTGTAGTCTGTAGAGCCATGTAAGGAGTCAGTGAGAGGGTTGAGCTGGAAGCTCTGCCACTCAGAAGCCAGGAGTCTTGTTAAAGTGGCTATGTTCTTTTATGGGACCCCAAGCTGAAATGAGATACCCGATCCCATTTTGGGACCTATCTGTGATGTGTGAGCCTGTGAAGTAGACTCCTTCTCATTTGCCAACAGCTCACAGCAATGTCAGAAGCCTGCCTCGCACATCTGTGATAGGTGTGTGTTAATCATGTGAGGTGGACATTTGGTCAGTCTTGGAAGTGAAAGTTTACAGAGAAAGTGAATATAAGGGATGGGCTAGAACATCAGCCATCCAGCACAGCAGCCCCCTCCCTGGGATGTTTGGCTCATGTACTCACCTGTCCTATCTATCACTATGTGACTTCTGTGTCAAGGAAGTCTAGACATGAGTGAATAGAAGGAGGAACCAATAATTGCCTCTAGTGTGCCTTCTTTTGGGTCAAAGCCATGTCCTTTCCTCTTTGTGGGGAGAAAAAGTGAGGCCCAGCTAACTCCTTGTACACTGGCAGCTGCAATTATCACATAGGTGACCGTACTTTGGGACAAAGTATCTGCTCCTGGTGGCATCTCTGATATGTGGCTTGAGATTAACTTGCTTTCTGTTACCAGGAATTCATCATCACCATTATAATCAATAAAAATCATCATCATCATCATAATCATTTTGTGATATTGGGGATTGAACCCAGGGTCGCATGCATCTAGGCAGTTGCTTTACCACTTCTGGCTACACACAGCTGTGAATTCTACAGAGCAAGATAAAATTAAGCAGAGTTAAAGGCTTGACAGTCTTCCCTTGGGTTTTTCATTTATTAATTTTTCTGGGAAGTCTTAACTTCCCTTTTACTTTTAGTTTCTTAGCTTTTCTTTCTTTACCCAGCCTAGATTTTGTTTTTGTGTTTTTAATTTATTTTATGTTTTTGAGGCAATGCATCACTGTGTAGCCCAACTAACTTGGAACAAGTTCCGAGTTGAGAATGTGACCAGGGGAGGACTCAAACTCATAGCGACCTCTGCCTGCCTTTGCCTCCTGTGTGCTACCACATCTGGCTTATTTTTATTTTTGAGATGAGACCTCATGTATCCTAGGATATCCTCGAATTCATTTTGTAGCTGAGGATGACCTTGAACTTCTTTCTGATTGTCTTGTTTTCACTTCCTCAGTGCTAGGATTGATGAGAGCTGTGTTGTCACCATGGCCATTTCTACATGGTGTTGAGGATAATCAAACCAAGGGCTTCCAGCATGCTAGGCAGGCATTCTACCAACTTAGCTACATCCTGCTGCCTAGCCTGTTTTTGTTTTTGCATATATGTATGCAATTTTGCACGTGTGCAAAAAAAAATTGTGTGTATGTAAGGTGGAGGTCCAGGGTTGACATCTGGTATTTTCCTCACTATCTCCACTTTATATATTGAGATAGGTCTCTTCCTGATTCTGGAGCTTGCTGCTTCAGTTAGTCTGACTAGCCAGTTTGCCCTGAGGAACCCCTCTATACCTCTCTTGCCCTGGGATTACACTATACCCATCATGCACTTACATGAGTTCAAGTGTATCATCCACTAAGTCATATCCCCACCCCCAGTCTGTTTTTGATACTTTTTTTTTGCCCACAATGCAGATGAAGATATGAAAGAGGGCTACCTCCTTATGGTAACATTTTTACCTCTATGTTTGGGCCAAGACCTTGCTTCAAAGCTCTACAACATCATCTCCATACCTAAGATCCGATCACCATGTTTTTCATGTTCTCTGAACACGTTTCCTAATAAAAGCAACGCTGAAAATTGTCTCTGAAATTGTGAGATGTGATTGAGTGTCTTTTGTAGAATGGAATTTTCTCATTAAAATGATCTAAATGTCTTGTAATACTGTAAATAGTTCTTAGTGCTATTCTTCAGACATGTCACAAATAACCAGACTTTAGTGCTCCAGTTGAGAATGTGACAGTTTTAAATGTAGACAACTTTGAATGCATTTTCTTATACGATGTCACCTTACAAACATACTGGGATGTTTCCTGTTGACAAGTACATTGCATTTTCTTACATAATGTTACCTTATAAACTAATTTATGAACAGCTCAGTGTTTATGAAATAGCTTTTTAATTTTTTGTTTTGATGCTTTTAAGTTTTCCTCTGATCAACTCTGAGATTTATATCTATACCTTATACCTGCTTATATAAGCCAACATTGAGGCTTCTTGGGAATTCTAAAGATTTTTTTTTAAATCTTTATGTGTGTGGGTGTGTGTGCATGTGTGCATTTGTGCTAGCATGTACATGCGGTAACAGAGAACGATTTCCAGGGAGTCTCTTGTCTCTACCTCCTATCTCCTCATAGGAATGTAGGAATGCTGGGATTCACCTGCCTCTGTCTCCCTAGTGCTGGGATTAAAGGCTTGTGCCACCACCACCCGGAAAGCCACACCTACTCTTTTACATGGTTTCAGAGATAATAATTCAGGCCCTCATCTTTATGTGTCAAGTGATTCACCCACGGAGCCATCTCCCTAGCTTTCTTATTCTTTTGAAATCTGTTTGGTGACCAGAGTTTGGCATGTTGGAGGAGAGGTTTGTGTCAGATAAAGAGTGTCTTGCCTGTTCCTAAGGTTCTGAAGAGTACCTTGGAATAAGAGTGGTGGCTGCATTGTTGCTTGTGATCTTTCATAGTATACATATGGACTTTGAGCTTGTTTCCCCTCTCAGGTATGAAAGACTGCAGAAAATATGCTCCATAGCCCTGGTTGGTAAATACACCAAACTCAGGGACTGCTATGCCTCTGTGTTCAAAGCACTGGAACACTCAGCCTTGGCCATCAACCACAAGTTGAATCTGATGGTGAGTCCCAGCCTGATCTTCTAGCCCTCTATTTTATTTTTAGTTATTTGTATGTGTAACTATGTCTATGTGTGGGCTTGTACATGTGAGTGCAAGTGCACGAGGGAGGCCAGAGGCATTGGATCTCCCTGGAGCTGGAGATATAGGTGTTTGTGAGCCATTTGATATAAGTGCTGGGAACCCACTACTGGGTTCCTGCTCTTACCTGCTGAACCAAGACCTCTTCTAGATAGTTTTATGACTCCAGTATTTTACATTCTATAGAGGCAAATTGGGCTGGGTTCTGGCTCAGTGCTGGAGTGATTACTTAGCACGATCAAGGCCCTGGGTTCCATCCCGGGCGCTGCAAAACAAGTAAACACAATTTACTGTTCTGATGTTGTGAAGAAACACCATGGCCAAGGCAATTATTTTTTGAATTGGTGGCTTGCTTACATTTTCAGAGGGTTAGTCCATTATTGTCATGGCAGGAGCATGGCAGTAGGCAGGCAGGCTTGGTGCTGGAGAAGTACTGTGAGCTTACATCTTATCCACAAGTTGCAGGCAGAGAGAGGAACACTGGTCCTCCATGGGCTTCTGAAGCCTTAAAGCCCATCCCCAGTGACACACCTCTTCTAGTAAGATCACACTTCCCTAATTCTCAAATAGTTCCATTAACTAGGGACCAAGCATTCAAACATATGTGCCTATGAGGGGGCATTCTCCTTCAAACCATCACAGTTGGTGATGTGGCTCAGTGCTGGAGTGCTTACTTAGCATGGTAAGTTCCTTCCTGAGCACTGCAAAACAAATAAACACAATTTATAAATTCCCAAAGGAGCATACTAGGCAAATGCTGAATCACTAAGCTGTATTACTAACCCTCTTAATTTTATATTTTGAGATAGAGCTTTGCCAATTTGTCCAATCTGGCCTCAAATTTACTCTGTACCTTATAAGATCTTTCAGGAAGAGTGAGGCCTCATGAGCTACTACTAAGCTTGGCTAGTCCCTAGTTATTGAATAACTGTGAGAGATAGATGCAGTATTTTGAGTGTTTATTTTTTTCCTAAATTTTCATTTAACTTGTTGGATTTTTGATGTTGTTTTGTTTTTTAGTATATAGACTCCATTGATCTGGAACCAGTCACCAAAGCTGAGGATCCTGTGAAATTCCATGAAGCTTGGCAGAAGTTGTGCTTGGCCGAGTGAGTACCAGGGACTGTCCACATGAGGAAGACATTGTCATTGTGCTTTCTCTGTAATTATTCCACTTGTTATAGTTGCTAATATTTTGCACATTTGTAGTTAGGAGTCCTTGTGGTCTTTGCAGGTGTTGTGCAGCATTCATGCCACATTGCATTCAGGTCTGCCATTTGAACTCAGGTGACATGGGCAGTAGAAATGGTTTTATTTGGAGAGGGTGGGGAGACTGCATTAGATGGAAAGGGTGCTGATTTTCCTGAAAGATGTAGTTATGACTACTATATATGTAAAATTCCATACGTTTACTAATTTATTTTCATTTTAATTAATTAATTGCTGATATAATGTCTGTGTAGCCCAAGATGACTTGGAGACTGTGGAGCTTGGGATGACCTTGAACTCCTGATCTTCCTGTTTCAACCTAGGTTTGGGTTTACAGGCATGCACCATCATGCCTGGTTTATGGGGCTTTGGGGTTGGCTTGTTAGATAAGCACTCTAACAACTGAGCTGTATCTCCAGCCCTTCACATGCTCTAGTTCTCCCTTCCCTTCTTTCTTTCTGTAAGTAATTGAGAGAACCCTGGGGCAGCACTGTATTTTGAGGTTACCATGACCTTCCTGGTTTTTCCCTTGAACTATTTTTTTTTTTTTTTTTTTGAGACAGGGTTTCTCTGTGTAACAGTCCTGGCTATCCTGGTACTCGCTCTGTAGACCAATCTGGCCTCAAACCCACATAGATCTGAACTATTGATTTTTAGCTTGAGTGTTTGCTCTAGCCAGGACCTTTTCATTCACTGTTACTTAATTGGCCATTGGAGCCATAGGGTGCTTTTCCCAGTTTAACTCTTTCTGATGATGTAAGAGGGCCGAAAGTTTATATAGTAGTTTGAACCCACCTAGGAGTGATGGTACATACCTATAATCCCAACATTTGGGAGGATGAGGTAGGAGGGTCCAGAGTTCAAGTTTAGTCTTGTCTATAGAGTGAGTTTGGGGGCTGGTCTGCACTCTATGAGTTTCTATCTCAAAAATTTAAGGACAACAAAAGGACTTTAACCTATTTTTATTTTTATTCATTTTTTTCCAAGAGAGGGTTTCTCTGTGTATAGTACTGGCTGTTCTGGCACTTACTCTGAAGACAGGGCTGGCCTCAAAGTCACATAGATCCCTCTGCCCCTGCCTCCCTAGAGCTGGAATTACAAGTGTGTGTCATCCCTCCCTGACCTATTTTTACTCATTTGTTTATTCATTCATGTTTCTCTCTTTTTCCTTTTCTACCAGCCCTCAGCATAATTATTTTTCTTTCTTTTTATTTATTATTTTTGCTTTGTTTTTCCAGACAGGGTTTCTTTGTATAATAGCCCTGGCTGTCTTGGAACTTGTTCTGTAGACCAGGCTGCCTGCCTCTGCCTCCCAAGTGCTGGGATTAAAGGCATGTGCTATTATTGCCTGGAAAATTCTTTTATTTTATATTCTTAGACAGATCTCATTATGTAGTCCAGGCTGGCCTAGAACTCTGAACCCTCCCGTCTCAGCCTCTGGAGTCTGGTATTACAAATATATATCATCACACATAGTCCTTAGTGTAGTCTTTGTTTTTTGTTTTTCTTTTCCTTTTTTTTCTTTTTTTTTTTTTTTTTTTTTTTTTTTTTGATTTACTGGGGCAGGCTCTTGATGTTTAGCCACAGTCAACCAGCCTGGAACTTGTAACAATTCTCTTGCATCTACCTTCTGAGTGTTGGGTTAATAGGTATGTACTATCATGACTGGCTGTCTGCATTTTTTATTGAGTGCAATTTCTCAGTTGCTGTCTTAGAATCCACCAAGACCTATCAGAAAATATATATTAAAGGCAGTTGTGAGAAACTGTGATAAGTCTTCATAAGGTTGTGCTTCAAAGATGTATATTTTTGTAATCTATTCTAAAAGTAGACTCCAGACATTTACTAATGATTGTGCCAAGCATTGATGAAAACACAAGTTTTAAAAATAAAAGTAATGTGGGTTGGTGAGAGGGCTTAGAAGGTAAAAGTTCTTGCTGCCAAGCCTGATAGCTTGAGTTCGATCCTTGGCACCTACACAGTGGAAGGAGAGAACCAACTGTTACAAGATGTCCTCTGACCTTCACATACTCACTGTGACATGTACTTGTCCCAGACACGCCTGGACCCCCCCCCCCACAGAGTAACTAATAATTAAAAGTACTTTAAAGATGGTGGATCGTCAACTTTACTTTCATCTTGTGTTAATTTCAGTGGTATTCTTGTGCCGGGAGGCTTTGGAATCCGAGGAACCTTGGGAAAACTTCAGGCAATTTCTTGGGCAAGGACAAAGAAGATTCCATTTCTGGGTAAAACTTTTGTGTATTGGTTTTTTTTTTTTCAGTGCTGGGAATTGTACCTAGGGCCTTAAGGGTATATGCAAGGCAACTCTGCCATTGAGGTATATCGACAGCTCTTATCCAGGTTTTTGACATAAGATGGGTGTTATACCTTAGATGGGGTAACATGTAGTAAGGTTTCTTTTTGTGAAGGTGTGAGCTTAGTTTTGAAAGTCAGGTACTAAATCATTTTCTACAGGGCTTATCAAACTGAATGTGGCTCCTCGCTTGCTTTTGTAAATAAAGCTTTATTGTAACACAGCCCACCCATTTTGTTTTGCATATTGCTCATGGTTGTACAGTTGAAGAAGATCCAATGACTTGTAAAGCCTAGAAGTATTACTTATAGTTTATAGGAAATATTTGTCTCTGAGTAGCAAGAAGCTGGAAGAAGCCTGTTGTTTTATTCTTCTTAGTAGTCCTCTTAGTACTTTCAGCAAAAAGCCATTCTATAGAACTCTGTAATAACCTTTCTGTTGGCAAAAGAAGTGCTTAAGCCTTTAATCCCAGTACTCAGGAGACAGAGGCAGGCAGATCTCTGAATTTGAGGCCAGATTGGTCTATAGATTGAGTTCCAGGATAGTCAGGGCTACACAGAAAAACCCTGTCTTGAACAAACAAACAAAGAGTAACAACAATAGCAACAACAAAAAGCAAAGAAAAGGAAGTGCTTGCTTTGAAACTTGTGTATATATGTGTGAGTATGAGGGATCAAACCCAGGGCCTTGTGTATTCCAAATAAGCCCTCTGCTACTGAGCTATACCCACAGCTCTAAGCTGAAACTTATATTCATTTTAGAGTATATAATATGAAAAGATCAACCAGTCCACAGTAGTAGCTCTGTTAAACTTTGCTTAAACTGGGTCTTTTGTTTGTTTGTTGTTATTTTTCTTCCTTAAAAGAGATGAAGTCTTAATGTCTTACTGTGTTTATGCTCATCTTGAAGTTCTTGGTTTAAGCTATCCTCTTGTCTCAGCATCCCAAATACTGGGACTACATGCATATACCACTATACCCTAAGAAGCAGGTCTTTTGAATATTCTTGTTTAATTGTAAAGCATAGCTTTTGTAACATTAAATCTGGATGTGCTAAAGGCAGCTCTGCTGCTGGAGATTCAGGTAGGAGGAGCACAGAGGCCCAGTCTCCCATTGTGTTTTAGGTATTCTGCTGGGTTTGTGAACTGGAGGGAAGGTTTTCTGTCTTTTACTATCAGCAGAATGTTAGGTATTAATTTTTTTCTATTACCTGTTCCTTTTCTGGATCCTCCAGACTCTTGGGACTCCATTTCCAAAGAAAAACCAGGACACTTGCTTTGTTTTATCCCGACCTAAGCTTATTTGGTCCATTGTTACTTTTTGTTTTTTAAGATTGGGTGATCAGGCTGGGGAGATGGCTCAGTGGGCAACAAACATCCTGATTTGATCCTCAACACCCACATTAAAAGCTAGGTGTGACTGTACATGGGTGCCTGATGGCCTTTGACAGGAGAAGAAAGCATCAAATTCCCTAGAACTAGGGTTTGTTAGCTGCCAGAAACTAGAACTGGCTTTTCTACAAGAATGACAAGTTTTCCCTTACTTTTTCTCTCCTTTGGTTTTTCAAGACAGGGTTTCTCTGTGCTGCTGAGCCTCAAGTGCTCTGTTTTATATGGTATATGTTATATCTGGTCTGTTAATATATAAAAAGTATATAAATTGGCCAGTGAAATTCTTTTTTCATTTCTACTGTTTTAATTTATCTTTTCAAGCTTTTTTACATGCACATAGTGTATGTTGAATGTATTTTCTCTCATATCCCCATCCTCAAGTGAGCCTTGAACTTGTTGTGTGGCTGAGTCTGGCTTTGAACTCCCGATCCTCCTGCCTATACCTCCAATGTGCTAGGATTACATATAATCCTTACATTACATGATTCACAACATCATGTCTCTTTATGCCCTAGCCATGTGGAACTTTCTGAAGTTCTTTGAGCACTCAGCCATTTCCTGCTTATCCCTTTAATCCTGGCATGCTTGTGCGTTGATGGCTTCTCCCTTTGCATTTCCTGCATCACATGTGTATGTCTGTAACAGCATCTGGAATGCTCCTTGCTGTCTGTTTATAGGAGGGAGTCGGTGGCCTGTAGTGAGTGTGGAGATCTCTTCAAAACTTCTATATTGACAACAGGCCTGTAGTGACTCAGGCCTTTGTCTTACACTCATCTTTTTAAAAAGATTTTATTTTATGTGCATGGATATTTGGCCTGTATATGTGTGTGTGTACCACATGCATGCAGTATCTATCCTTGGAGACTTGAAGAGGGCTTTGGATCTTCTGGAACTGGAATTGCAGACATTTTTGTGCTGCCATATGTTGGCCCTGAGAACCTGGGTCCTCTTCAAGAGCAACAAGTGCTCCTAACTTCTTTTTTTTTTTTTTTTTTTGGCTGCCTATTTTCTCTTTTAATTTTTTTCTCTTTTGACAGCTTTTCTCGGTTTCATTTTCTTTTCTAAGCTTTCAGAATTGCCTTTTTTAAAATACTTTTTTAAAATTTAAATTTGAAACAAACTTGTTTTACATGTCAATCCTATTTCCCACACCCTCCCCTGTCCCTCCCCAACCCCCATCCCATCCCCTTTCTGCTCCCCAGAGAGGGTGAGACCTTCCATGGGAAGTCTTCAAAGTCTATCATATCATTTGGAGCAGGGCCCAGGTCCTCCCCCACATGTCTAGGCTGACGGTGTATCTCTCTATGTGGAATGGGCTCCCAAAATCCATTCGTATACTAGGGATAAATACTGATTCACTACCAGAGGCCCCAAGGACTGCCCAGTCCTCCCAACTAACACCTTTTTATTAATTTATTTATTACATTCCAATCCCAGTTTCCTCTCCCTCCTTTCCTCCTGCTTCCTCCACCCCTGTTCCCCTCCCCCACCTCCCATCTGCTCCTTGGGAGGGTAAGGCCTCCCCTAGGAAGTCTACTAACTCTGTACCATCATCTAGTTGAGGCAGGACCAAGGCACCTCTCTACTTCCACACCCCTGTGTCTAGGCTGAGCAAGGTATCTCTTCATATAGAATGGGCTCCACTAAGTCAGTTTGTGTGTTAGTGTTAGATCTTTGACCCACTGTGGCCTCCTATATTGTCCCATTCACACCATTGCCACCTATATTAAGGGAGTCTAGTTCTGTCTTATGCAGATTTGCCATTTGTCAGACATGAGCCAGTGATCTCTCACTAGCTTAGGTCAGCTGTTTCTGTGGGTTTCCCCATTGTGATCTGGACTCCTTTGTTCATATTATCACTTGTCCCTCACTTCCATTGTACTCCAGGAGCTTGGCCCATTGGTTAGTTGTGGATTTCTGCATCTGCTTCCATCTGTTTCTGGAAGAGGGTTTTAGTTACTCTGGGGTTGTGGATTGTAGGCTGGGTATCTTTTGTTTTATGTCTGGTATCTACATATTTGTTTTTCTGGTTTTGAGTTACCTCACTCAGGATGTTTTTTTTCCCTAGTTTTGTCCATTTGCCTGTGAATTTTAGGATGTCATTGTTTCTTACCACTGAGTAGTACACCATTGTGTAAATGTACCACATTTTCTTTATCCTTCAGTTGAGGGGCATCGAGGTTGTTTCCAAGATCTGGTTATTAAGAATAATGTTACTATGAACATAATTAAGCAAATGACATTGTGTGAATGTGCCTTCTTTGGGTATATGCCCAACAGTGGTATTGCAGGGTCTTGGGGTAGGTTGATCTCCACTTTCCGAGAAATCATCATACTGATTTCCACACTGGTTGTACAAGTTTGCACTCCCACCAGCAATAGAGGAGTGTTCCCCTTTCTCCACATCCTCTTAGCCATTCTGATCGGTGTAATACAGTATTTCAGAGTTGTTTTCATTTGCATTTCCCTATGACTAAGGATGTTGAGATTTATTTAAGTGTCTTTCCACCATTTAAGATTGTTCTGTTGAGAATTCCCTGTTTAGATCTGTACCCCATTTTTTAAAATTGTATTATTTGGTAGTTTGATGTCTAGTTTCTTGAGTTCTTTGAATATTTTCAAGATCAACCCTCTGTCAGATGTGGTGAAGACCTTTTCCCATTCTATAGGGAACCATTAGGTGCTCCTTACTTCTGAACCACCTCTCCAACTCACTTTTGCCTTTTCTGAGTACCTGCTCAGTTTCATTTTCTGTCCCTTTCCCTGCTTTCTTCCACATACCTGCCCATAGCACCAGCGCCTGCCCCTGCTGCTCCTTTTCTCCTGGAGATCAGCAGTCCCACCTCCTTAGGAACTCATCCTCAGACTGGCCAACCTCAGGTTGCCCTGTGGCCAAGGCCATATTTTGGTTGTGAAATCTTGACAAGCAGGAATGTGAAATCTCAGCCCAAGGAGATTTGCTCTTGAGTTGGGGTGTTGTTAGACATTCTCTGAAAGCCTTGAGGTCTTTGAAACAGCTCTGCAGAGCACATAGGTACCTTGGTTCAAGAACAGCTGCAGCAGATGGCAGATTTATCTTCTGGGAGTTTGACATTTCCTCATCTGCCCTCCAGTTGCTTCTTGCTCACCTCTGGACCTTAGGTTGCTCCTTTAGTCTTTAACCCCTGTCATGTACTGCTCTTCAGGAACTATTCTGGCTGCTAAGGGGATCACGGGGAACAAAACAGGGAGTCTTCATCTATTGAAGTTTGCATTCTAAGAGAATTCAGGAAACAGTTGAACACAAAATGTACTAGATACAAAACATGCTCATGTGCTTCTCCTAGATACAAAACATGCTCATGTGCTTCTCCTAATAGGAATCTGCCTTGGGATGCAACTGGCAGTGGTTGAGTTCGCAAGAAACTGCCTGAACTTGAAAGGTAAGCCCCCATTTTACTAACCACTTATTTAAAACAAGAACATGTGTCAGCAATATTGGTAAATCATTAAATGTCTTTGTCTTTAGATGCTAATTCTACCGAATTTGAGCCAAACACTCCAGTTCCATTGGTAAGTGGCTTGTGGATCTTTCTGTGTCCAGTCTGTCACTCTGTTTCAGTTCTTGCCTTAACCCCTGAGGGATAATTATTATTTTTTTCCTAGCAGTGCCAGAACTTCACAAATTATATATGAATTTATTATTTCCTGTTATCTTTGCTTCAGACTGCTTTGTTCTCTCTAGTCTAGCTTGCCAGCTATGCCTTGAAAAAACACAGCTCTGCCTGCTTTGCAGCAGCTTTCAAGCTTAATGTTTAGGAAAGGATTAAATTGACTGTGACAACAATTTATAGCAGCTAATATAAATAAATGAGCTGTTCCGTCTCTAGTTCTAGTCTTGTCCCAAGTCTGCCTATTTTCCACATTGGTGGCCATCTATCCTTTTAAAACAAAAGTGACACCCATTGTACTGCTGGTCCTCACCTGGCAGTTCCTTTTCCCCCAAGATACTCAGTCATGGGGCTAGAGAGATGGCTCAGTGACTAAGAGTGCTTGCAACTCTTCCAGAGGACACACGTTTGGTTCCCAGCACTCACATTAGGCAGCTCATAGCCACCCATAACTGCAGCTCTAGGGATCTGACATTCCCTTCTTGCCTTTCTCAGCATCAATGTATTGTGTACAAAAAAATTGGTTGTGTTTTTGTTTCTCTGAGACAGAGCTCATTATGTAGTTGTGTTTGTCCTTGAACTTAGAGATTCACCTGCCTCTGTCTTTCAAGTGCTGGGATTAAAGGCAGGTGCCACCATGCCTGATTATAAGTGTTTTTAAAAGTTAGGATCCTTTGCTATGACCTGAAGGCTCTTATATTTCACTACATGCTGCTTCATTCATTTGTCCCATGTCATCCCAATTCCTCCCACACTTAAGAGTTCCAGTTTGGACCATCTGAAGTAGTATTTTTCAGTTTTTCCATGGTGATTCCCTATACCTTAGATGTCTCTCTTATGATTTTCCCCTGGAACCTCAACAAAACCAGTGAAGAATTGAACCAGTTGCTCTGGGAGGCTTTATTTCTGTACTTTCGATTTCTTGTCACACTCATTAGCAAACCATGCCGTCATTGGCCTTTGGCTTGCCTGGTCATCAGTTGCCTGTCTGTGTATATCCAGCTACATCCTTGCTGCCAAGCACTCCTACCTAATAGTCAGGGTCTTCATATAGTAGTTATACTCTCCTTGGTTGGTTTTTAACTTTTACACTTGTGTGTGTGTGTGTGTGTGTGTGTGTGTGTGTGTGTGTGTGTTTGTTATGGACTGTTTGCAGTTACTGATTTTCTTCTGCTGTGTGTTCTGGAGAATGAACTCAGGTTGTTATGCTTGTGGTGACAGGCATTTTAACCTACTGAGCCATCTCATAGGCCCTTGTTTTGTTTTAGATGTGATTTTACCATAATTTAGGCTTACCTAGAATTCATTATGTAGCCCAGGCTGGCCCCAAACTCACAGCAATCCTCTAACACCAGTCTCTCAAATTTAGGAGTCACAGGTAAGAACTGCCATGCCTAGTTCTCTGTGTGGTTTTAAAATAATTTTATTTATTCATTTTGTGTGTATGTGTGCACTCTTGAGCACGTGTGTGGGTTTATGTGCCACAACATGTGTGTGCAGGTCAGAGGACAACTTTCAGGAGCTCGTGTGGTGATATTTTGTTTATGATCTAACAAATAAAGCTTGCCTGCAAATCAGATTGCAAAGCTAGCCCCACTAGTTAGCTATAGAGGTCAGGCAGTGGTGGCTCACACCTTTAATCTCAGCACTCGGGAGACAGAGGCAGATGGATCTATCTCTGTTAGTTCAAGGCCACCCTGAGCTATACAAAATTAACCCAGTGTAAAAGAGGAACAGAGCTCACACAAAAGTGATCTCAGTACTTGGGATCCCAAGCCTTCAATCCCAGCACTAGAGAGGAATATAAGGCTGCAGGTGACAGGAACTCAGTGCAGTCTGAGGACAGGATCACTCTTTTGGTCTGAGCATTGGCAGAGGTGAGAACTCTCTAGTGACTGACCACTTTACTTCTCTGCTCTTCAGCTTTAACTCTAATATCTGTCTCTGGGTTTTTATTATTTGTGTTACAAATTGGTTCTTCTATGTGGATCCCAGGGGTCAAACTTAGGCTGTCAAGTCTGGGGTTAGTGCCTTTACTTGCTGAGCCACTTGCAGGTCTTTATTATGTTGTTTTATTAATATCCTACAGATTTTGGTCATTTGAAGTGTCTCGTTCATTGTGCTTTAGCATTTTCCCAGATCCGTGTCCTCAGCTTCCCTAAACAGCACTACAGCTGGGAGCAGGTGTTCAAACATAGGAATCTGTGAGGCTGCATTTCCTAACTTGGTCTGTAACACTCCTCTATCTCCTCCTCCGTCTTCCTGTATAGCAACTATTTGTTCTTGATTTTTTTCTTGGTTTGTTCCATTTAAACATGACATTTTAATTGAGTGCATGTGCATGTGTGTGTATGTGTCTGGGCACATGTGCCACACAGTTTGCATGTAGTGGTGGAGACAAATTGTATTTGGCCCTCTCCTTCTACCATATAGGCCTTATAGAGGTCTTGGGGGTAGAGCTATGTTCATTAGGTCACAAGCATCCTTATCCACTGGGCAGTCTTGTTAGCCCCATCTTTCCATTTTTTAAAAGTATGAATAGGCATAAAAGTATGAGATGCATTGGCAGTTAAGAGTACCTGTTATTTTTGGAGAGGACCTGCGCTCACATGGCAGCTCACAACCAGGTATGACTCCAGTTCCAGGGTATTTGATGATCGCCTCTGGCCTCCATGAGCACTGCATGAACATGGTTTACGTATAGACATGCAGACAAAACACTCATACACATAAATACATAAATTTTGAAATCAGTTAAAAATAAAAACAAATGGGTAAGTCCATCTATAATTTATCCCCTTTTAGATACATCATATCATATTCTTCTCATTTTTTTATGATTGGCTTTTTTTTTTCACTTGGCATTATATGCTTGAGATCACCCCATGGAAGGGTATGGAAATATTCATGCCTTTTTATAGCTTTCAATTCAAACCATAATGAACCGTCACTTCCCAGCCAGATGGTACTTTTAAGCCTTATGCTCAGAAGGCCTCGTATCAGCAAAGAGTTCCTTAGGAGGCTTTAATAGAAATGTATTTCCTGAATAATAGCTGTAGTAGCTCAGCCAGGAAAATGATGGCTTTTCTTCTTTAGAAGGTATGTTGGGATAGGAAGGAATTTTACCAGTAGGTGCCGCTATTAAACAGCTTTGTTGAGGTTAAGTCTTTCATGACTACACTTAACTCTGTGTACATAAAGAAAAATTGGAACACAGGATATAAAAGTTAAATCTATAGAAAAGGTATAAAATGATTTCATTCACATTTTTTTTTGCCTTCTCTTCCACAGAGGCAACTACATTTGTTTTTCTTGCTGTTATTAGTTCAGGGACGAATGCATTCTTGCGTACTTGTGTACATGAATGTGTGCGTGCGTGCGTGTGTGTGTGTGTGTGTGTGTGCATGCGCGCGCGCGCGCGTGTGTGTGTGTACATCTATCCATATGTATGTATGGATATGTAAACTTGAGGGGAAGGCAGTGCAATGAATGAGAACTGAAGGCACCATGTATGCTAATTAAATGTCCTTCTACTGGGCCACACCCACAGCTCCTTTGCTAGAATGCTTGGGACATTGTTTTCACCTTATACTGATCACCTGTCATTGCGTAAGGACCTTTTACAGCTTGTCTAGATATGTGCACTAAGGGCATGACAGTATTTATTGCATTTATGGTGTTGTGTTTATAGTTTTGTATTTAGGTTGTATTCTTTATTTTGATAACCTTAAATTACTCTACATTTTGACCTCCATGTACAAATATGTTCTCTACTCACACATAAGCACATCTGTGGGATGAATCCATAGAAGGGAAATTGCTAAGTCAGAGGATGTGTGCATTTTACATTTCAATGACTTCTATACACATAAGTGAGATGAAAACAATAAAACCTAATTGCTATTGAATGTCTTTATGTGCTGAGATCACTTTGCTGGAGAAAAATAGCCTTAAGAGCCAGCAGTTGTGCTGATGGCTGAAAGTCTTATTAAAGAAAAAGACTAAGGGGAATGGAATCATAGGGCAGCCAATACCACAATGCTTGAGGAGTGACTTTACTTGGGTAGATAGCAATTACTGAGTGGGCATGGTCATTCCTGCTCTTGTGGCTAAAGAAAGTAAACATTCTGGAAACTAGAAGATTCTTTTAGGATCTGTCTGCTGCTAGAATCTGTTTCATTTCATTGCTTGTCATGTGTCCCTGCCCTTTTTGGCATGCAAGATAAGTGTTATAGTTGCTTACAAAATCATTGGAGACACTGTTATTCAGAACAGATTCTTAACAGGTACACATAAAAGGAGAAATTGATTTTTCTCCAAGGGCTACAGTAGATGCTGAGTCCAAGAGTACCCAGGAGAGAGAGCAAAAACTTGTCGTATTATGCTGTTTCTCTGATTTATCCACAAGACCTAATAAAACGCTCTGTAGTGTTGCAGAATACTTCTGGATCTGCAGCATTTTGGTCTTTTTTTTCTGCTTCAAAGTTGTCTCAGCAGCTTTTAGAGGAAGCTTAGCACAAACATAGCTGACTTGTGTTCTCACTTTGTATCAGTCTAAGGGACTAGGCGTTGGGCAGCTCCCTGGTAGGGAGACAGACAGGTTTTAGGTAAACTAATGTACTTTTCATGTAAACATTTAAGATGGCCGAGTTTCTGATTCTTTTCCCTTCTAGACAAAAACTTGGTAGGCTTTTTTTCTGGGATCCCCAAATTTGTGGGAGAGTTTTGAGCTTTTGCAGTGGAAACAAGTCAGTCAGCTTTTTTTTTCCTTTCTTCTTTTTTCTTCCTCTTTCCTTCCTTCCTTTCTTCATTTCTTTCTTTCTTTCTTTTTTTTTTTTTTTGATTATCCAATCCTCCAACTAGCTAATTCTGAGAAAGAAAGGGAGCCTCTAACATAAAAAT